CTGAATTCTGATTGGTCAATATATTCCAGCTGTGCTAAAATACATTATAGTTACAGCACCTATAGATGCCATCTATTAATATTTGTTTACATGTCAAAGACTAAATAGTCTTGCAGAGAGATGCCATGTTTTGACTATAAATCAAAACATATATATTTTATATTATACTATAATATTATTATTATTGTATAACAATTATATTACATTACATTATATTTAGTACTGGGCAAAAGTTTTTTTTAAATATATATATAAAATATGTGTGTATACTGTGTATATTTATTATGTATATATTATAGACACACACATACAGTATATATTGTGAAAATATTTACATGTATATATTATATATATAAATATTTATATATACATAATAAATACACACAGTACACACATATATTATGTTCACAAAAACTTTATATATTATATTATATTATATTATATTATGTAGTACTATTATTTAAAGCCAAATTATGAAATGTCTGTTGTAAACTCATTAGTCATAAGAATACTGTATCCCCATAACGAAACACTTAAAGTGTGTAAAATAACACAGATCCCCCCTCTAAACACAAACACACACTATGGACACGAGTGCACATGCACACAACAACAAAAACACCACCACACAGACATGCACTTGCACAACATGCCACACGCAAAATAAGCTACAGAATGAGACAAACATGAATGCACAAGTCATAAACAAAACAACATGATTCTCCCTGTAAGCACCTGCACCTGGAGATGTGGAACAGCACTGAAACTACATCCACCACATCTCCAAACACTGGCACCTAATGGAGCCTCCATTCAGAAAAGCCACAGTGTTACTACATCAGACCACTGCAGCTGTTATGAAACCAAGTGGCTGCTCCGTACGCCGTAGATCATACACCCTGAAATCCTCCTGCCTCACCGATCCCCCCTGGAGTCTATGTGGAGCCCTACCAACCTACACCCCTCACACACACATCCAAAACAGACACGTGTAGAACAAAACAGAGTGACGCATCAGAGCGGAGAAAGACTGCGCTTACCATGCTTTATCCCGACACACAGAAGAATGCTGCACGTCTCCCGTGCACACACTGACACGCACGCACACACACACACGACACGCATGAAGCCAGAGGGAGTGTAGGAGGGGAGAAAGAGGTGGAGTGAGACAGCATGCAAAGCGGAGGATGAGTAAAAACCACTGGGATCTAAATTTGGAGGAAGTGCAACCACAGATTTGAGGGATAGACTAGCAGGGTTGACGGCTGTGTGTGCGGGTACAGAGTGTGTTTTCTGAAATCAGATCGGCTCAGGCGAAGCATCTGAGTGGGTTAAGAGAGGGAAAGAGAGAGTGTAAAAACGTATTATGCATTATTACCTCTGCGTTTAGCACGCATGGAGAGCTCACAGCCAAACAGGGTCTTATGTAACAGCTGGACGTTGTGCTGAGGGAATGCAGTGAGCATAATATATGTGTGTGTGTGTGTGTGTGTTGCCTTTGGTCGTCTTGGATGATGTATGCTTTTCACACTGCACACAAATCCAATTTCGTTTCACATGCGATATTTGGGCCTGATTGTTATTTTGATGAAATGCGATTCGTTTGTTCAGACAGTCACGATTCAGCATTTAGCATCATTTTAGTGTCAGCAGGATTTTAAAAGTCGTTCTCATACAACAAGCTGTCAACGTGGAAAGAGAGGACGGGAAAACTAGAATTTAGCCTCTGCTGTCTACCACGCCATTTTGCTGACCAGAACACAAGCTACATTTTACGACATATATTTGTCCAGAACTGCTGATTCAGTCACTAAATAGTGAATATCACACAGTTTATTATGTAAGGAAAGAGCCAACAAAAAGAAAAGTATTCAGACACAGTTCCAGACAATATTGTGTACATTATGTATGACGTTACACATATTAACGTTCAAAAAAATTGGGGGTTGGAAAAATATTTAATGTTTTTTTTTTTTTATGTCTCTTCTTCTCACCAAGGCTGCGAATATTTGATCAAACTACAGCAAAAACAGTAATATTATGAAATATTATTACAATTTAAAAGTTGTTCTGTTTTATTATATTTTAAGATGTAATTTATTTATTTGTATTCATTTACTCCAGTCTTCAGTGTCACATGATCCTTTAGAAATCATTCTAATATACTGATTTGGTGCTCATGAAACCTTTCTTATTATTATCAATGTAGAAACAGATGTACTGCTTAATATTTTTGTGGAAACAGTGATACATTTTTGAGGATTCTTTGATGAATACGAAGTTCAAAAGATATTTTTTGTGGAAAACTTTTTATTTTCAGGATTTGTTGATGAACTTTGGACACAGCAATTATTTGAAATAGAAATCTTTTCTCACATTTAAAAAACAAACAAACAAAAATCCAATTGATATCCAATCTAACAGTTCAGACTTTGGATTAAAAATGTTTTTCCCTGTTCAGACAAAAAGAAAAACGAATTGCAACAAAGCCTAAAAACTGTCTCCTATTTCTCCTTTATGTTCATTTACTTACTCTTTCTCTTCTTCCATTTCCACTGGTGTTCACATGTGAAGCATTGGCCCCTAAGCCACTAACTAAACCTTGACTGGCACCTCAAGTGTCTATCTTGGAAAATGACTAGTTATAGAAAGTCCAATTCTATATTTTATGTAAACACAGTATATGCATTTCCTATACAGTGTAACTGCAAGATTTAAATAACTTTAACTGCAAGATTTAAATAACTTTAAAGTTTTTTATTTAATTTTTTTAAACAAGGTAGCGACAGATCTTTTCTAAGATTGAGTTATGACTTTGAATTTTAAAAAAAATTACAAAGTTAAATGTATTAAAAAAAGAGAAAAAATGTGCATGAATGAAATGTTCATTTGGCTCTTTTTTATGTGGGCCCGACCACAGTGTCTCTCTCTCTCTCTCTCTCTCAGACACACACACACAATATTCCCACCGCATATAAATTCCCCACACATTTGTGAACCTGCAATGACTATTTTATCAGGACTGTGAATTCCCAGATGCTTAATGTGATAGGTGCACTGTTCAACACCACACACACACACACACACACACACACCTCAGCATGTTTCTTTACTGTATGTAGCCTCTAACTGTTAAGTGCCACCTGACAACCTTGTTTAGCAACTAAAGCCAAACTGCCAGACACTCGTCAAAAAAACAGCAGTCAGCAGAATTAAAACCCAGCCTGAGGTCAAAGCTTAAGCTTAGAGCACTTTGCTGGAATCCTGCTTATCACAGGCATTTCACATACATCCTAAAAAAAGAAATGATAAAAAGAGGTCTAAACATTTCCATTATACACTTCAAGTACTCGGTGGCATCAACTTTCCAAAGTCTGACACTGAGACACAAATACTCTGATCTGCTAAAGGAAAACACAGATGTAATACACACTGTGTTCACTAGAGGGAGACAAAAAAAGCTGGTGAAGCATCATTAAAGGGGTGGTTGACTGGTTTTTTTCTAGGCTTGATTGTTTATGGGGTGCAGTCTAACATGTGTGTGTTCCCGGAGGTGGGGTTTATGTAAAATTCTGGGTTCTTGAGGTAACGGACCTGGGAAGTAACTCGTTGTAGTCCCTTACCAGTCGTTTTTGTAGGCATTAAACTGCCAGAATTTTAAAAGACGATATCTCCGTTTGCATTGAACTTTCAGCTTCGTAACTTTGCAGATATTGTTTATGATCAAACAGCAACATTACACACTAACTAACATTAGAAAAGTGAAATCGCAATCAACCACCCCTTTAATCACTTATTTACAGCTTGTTGACAGATTTCACGCACACATATGACCATCTCATGAACTAAACAGACACTCGATTGGTCCAGACCCAAATGCGCACTTAATGTGTTTTTTTATTATGTTTTTTTCTGTCAATGGTGTCCACAAATGTGTAGGGTGTCTTGTTTGTTTTTATGTGATTCAAACGGTACTCTTAAACAGTATTCTGTCATCAAAGTGAATGCTATTTTTGACAGGGCCAGCATCATGAGGGCCACAACACAAAGCACACATTTATACCATGACACTTCCACAAAAAACTGAGGAAACAGTTGAGAAAGAGCTGAAACTGAAGTATCTTACTATCACACACTCCACAACAAAATGTAACTTGTTATAAACAGCACAAAATAACTCCATTCAGTAAACGACTTGGTCGGCTACACCGATAGCACTTTTGAGTCAAAAATTGAGATGGAAGTGTATGTATGACAATGTATGACTGAATACTAAATGGCTGACACAATGTGAGTTACTGCATTAATTACTCACCCTCATGGAGCTACGGTGACACAGAGGAGACAAATTGTTGAATAAAGTCGTTATTTTTGTTCGTAAAAAAGCTTCGTAAAATTATGGTTGAACCCCTGATGTCACATGGATTATTTTACCGATCTCCTTGCTACGTTTCTGGACGTTGATCATGTTACTTACATTGCTGTCTATGGGAGGCTCAGAGAGCTCTCAGAATGCATCAAAAATATCTTAATTTGTGTTCGGAAGATGAACGGAGGTCTTACGGGTTTGGAACGACACGAGGGTGAGTAATTAATGACAAAATTTTCATTTTGGGGTGGAGTAACCCGTTAACTGTTGCAAAAGGAACATCCAAAACGGCTCCTGAACTTCTTAAAGAAAATAGTTATGAATTAATAGACCCTTGCAGCGTTCGTCTAATCACACTGTTGGATCTAAAACAACAAACTGTTAACTGCTACAGGAGGAAAATCAAATTGGCCGAACTTAAAATTCAGCCAGTGAAGAGTTCTCGCCTCTCCTCTCAGACGGCCCAATGAGCAAAGTCACTGCTGTCTGGAATGCAAAGCAGTGTGTCAAGCAGCCAATGAGGTGGCAGCAGATGAGGATCCAGCCATGGAGGATACGGAGTGAATGACGGAAAAGAAAGCTGAGAGGAGAAGGAATGGTGTGAATCAAGGGAGAAGGGGCGGAGTCTTACTTTGGGGGTGGGGCAGGAGGCAGTGGAGAGGCGGGACTGCTGAGCACAAGGAGACTCCGAGGGCGTGGTGCTGAGAGAGGCGGTGTCCCGCGGCAAAACCTGCACGCCTCGTGAAATGATGGACTCTGGTATCTGTAAACAGAAGACAGGGACAGTCAAATTCAGTTAAGAACTGGCAATAATCAGTATTTACACTTACAGTGCTGTGGAGTCAGTAAGAGTGTTTTTTCTAAGAAATTAATACTTTTATTCAGCAAGAATATAACTTGAAGAATATAAGAATACAATTATTATATAATTGTAGAATAATAATTCTAGAATTATTATTTTAATATATAATTCTATAATATGATAACATTTCATAATGTTCAATCAGACACACACACACATATATATACATACATACACACACACACACACACACACATACTGTATATGTGTGTGTGGCATGTTGCAAAGCATTAGCCAATCATAACACATCATATATACTGTACATACAGAACTCTCAAAGGTACAAGAGCATCAGAGAGCAGTGTGGTAAATAATCATTAAACCTTGACTAACATGGACTTTTGACTACTACAGAAGCAATATAGCCCACACAATCTTGACAGAAAGTATTAATGAACACACACACATATATATACATACACACACACACACACACACACATACTGTATATGTGTGTGTGTGGCATGTTGCAAAGCATTAGCCAATCATAACACATCATATATACTGTACATACAGAACTCTCAAAGGTACAAGAGCATCAGAGAGCAGTGTGGTAAATAATCATTAAACCTTGACTAACATGGACTTTTGACTACTACAGAAGCAATATAGCCCACACAATCTTGACAGAAAGTATTAATGAACCTCCACAGACAAATATTTGAAACGCCATTATCTAAACAGAGTGATATTTGTTACTGTATTCAGACTGAGACTCGCTGCCTTTGATCCAGTAGGCGAGTCTTTGTGCAGTAACAAACTGCAGCTATGCTGTCTGGGAGAACTGTGCTGGGATTAAGCGGGAGTCTGATGGGCAGAAGGGCGAAGAGCGCAGGGATCTTCCATAGGAACGCTGGGGCTTAACGGAGCACTAATTAACACTGGGGATAAATCAAGGCCTCACAGGAAAGAGCAGCTCCACGAGCGCTTTAATTACCCAGCGCAGAAGCTAACCCTGCGCTAATAATAGCACTCGACTCAACCTCTGCCTTCCCATGAGACTCGAGCTACGAGCGCTCCCTGTGGAGAACACAGTAATGCCAACCTGCATGACCCCATTATAAAGACAGCTAATACAGGATATATACTCAATCCTCTGTGTTATCAGAGAAAAAAAAAACTTTACAAAACCTGGCAAGGCTGAACAACAAGACAAATATTGCTTGCTAAAGTATAAACTCATACAACGCAATAGAAAGCTAAAGAAAGAAAGTAAGTCATGCTTGTCCATGTTGTGGGTGGTTGCCAGGGTGTTATTTATTGGCACAAAAGCTAGGCCTGGAGGTGCCAAGTCTATCATATTTTGGTCACTAGATATGGCTTTAATGTATACTCATTTTGTGTAACATTCAGAATAATGAAGATTCCAATTTTATTTTTCTTTAAATGAAATAAATTTGGAAATAATTTTTATGGTATAACAAAATTATATAATGTTAAATTATATGAATGTTACATTCTGGTTTGCTGAACATTAAATTATTATTAAATAATATTATAAGAGATGGTACAGCTTTATACACATGCTGATATTAAAGAATTAACAAAAAAGTTAACAAATGTATAGTAGATTAGTAGTATAAAGTCAAAAAGCTAGACCTGGAGGTGTCAGTTTTATGTTACAGTATTTGGTCTCTAAAAATTAAATGCAAGTCTAAGGGGCTGTTCACACAGAATGCGTTTTTCCATTCCAATGCACTAATTTCCATTGTTTTTCTATGTAAACACACACTAGACACAGTTGCACTCGCGTGTTTTGAAGTGTCTCGCACATGAGCACCAAGACATTGTAAGACATTGTATCAAGTTAAAAGAATTTCAACTTTTACACGTAGTGCCACTCATCAATGTCAGTAAAACTGTGAGCTCTCCAGAACTGTGGACCAATCAGAAGATTCCGAAGGCAGGGCAAGCATTGAGAGCTTTTGTTTACAGTAGCAAATTATCATGGCAACTGTTTTATTTGATGGTAACATGGTAGAGGAGGCATTCCGCGCTGAGCTTGTTTTAAAACCTGTGCGATACATCTCATGTATTTAGACGCAACAATGCGTTCTGTGTGAACAGCCCCTAAGGGATTTATTTCCTGTTTTATTGTCAAGCAACAGTAGTAGTGAGCAAATAAAACAATAATAACTTACAATGACATTTCATTTCTCTGATTGGTTGGTTTTGAAACTGGATGTTCAAAAGGGCCAATGGAATAGCAGGAGAGGTGAATGTGCATGGAAAAGTGGGTGTGGCTTACCGTATCGCTGCAGGAGCAGGTGAAATGGGACAGAATGGAGGTGGACGGGATGAAGCCACTCAAGGGCTGTCCACCTTTCGCCATGACAACAGCATGGCTGGGATGAGACTTCATGCTCTGATGATGAACATGAGATGCATAAACATGACAAGAGACTTGACACGTGCACACACAAACACAAAAGATGATTCAATGGAGCATCAAGGGCAATGATAGAGAGTCTTAAAGGGTCATGAAACCCGAAACTGCTTTTTCTGAGATTTTAGCAGAGGTGTTTGTGTTGCACATCATAGAAGACAATGTTAGCATCCGATAATTTTAACTGTTGGAGAAAACTGGTTAATTGTAAGCTTTTTTGTGCTATTTTCATCTTCCGGGTTTAAAATCTACATTGTGTTGACGTCACAATTTGTGACGTGGCAATGGACTAACAGTACATCGGTGACGCGTCGGTGTCTATTAAATTATTCATGAGACTGCGTGTTCTTATCCTATGAGAAGACGCTTCACTTAATTATTCACAACAGCATATGTTGATTTGCTATGACAGACATTTCAGAGTCTGTGAGATGACATCGCGCACAATAACTGAGAGAAACGTTCATGGATCGAAGAAGAGTTGCTGAAACAGGGGGTTTCATGACCCTTTAAAGGGGCAGAGTGTTATCTTTTTAATGTCAAAATACGTTCTTCTGTTCCAGTTATGTTAGGGAAACATGAAATATCATGAAATTACATAATAATAATAATAATTATTATTATTATTATTAATAGTGAAGCTCACCTTAGCAGCAATAGCAGCCGCTGTGATGTGAGAGGAGCCGCTGTCCTCTGTGGACGCCACGCCACTGTCCTTCTTCTCCTCGTCCTCTTCCTCACACTGCACACCCTTTTCTTCTGTCTGCTTGTGTGGGCTGGTGGTGGGTGGAGGGGAGAGGGGTGGTGGAGGGGACGGCAGGTCCTCTAGAGCGTCGTGTACCTCCTTCACCTTCACTATGGCATCCCGCAGCAGGTCAATGGCATGCGGCAGAGCAGGCAGGATGAACTGGAAGCACTCCTGAGAAAAGACAGAGATGCAGATGAAGCAAGTGAAAGAATGAAAAAGCGAAAAGACCTTTTAGATATGCTCAAACTCGATTCTACAGAGACATAATCATGACACGTTTAGAGAAAATTGTATTTTTATTTATATTTATTAGGAGTATTACATTGTTAGCTTAGTAACAAGCTGCCTTAAATGGCAGTTACTACTAGGCAGTAAGAAGCTTTCTCTTTTCTGGAAAAGAGCCAGAAACTCACAACAAAACAAAAAAAAAAACTAAATTAAACTAAACTAAACACAACAACAAAACAAAACAAAACACAACAAAACACAACACAACAAAATAAAACAAGACAGCAAAACACAACACAACACAAAACAAAAAAGCAAAACAAAACAAGACAGCAAAACACAACACAAAACAAAACAAAGCAAATAAGCAAACATATATTAATAATTTTCAAAAATATGTACACTTAGATAAATAGAACAGAATATAAAATTGATATGAATAAAATTAAGATTAAAAGGCTAATTTTAAATAAAATAAATTCTCATTGTTATTATATTGTGTCATGTAAAATCATTTTGTGTAACATTCAGTATAATGAACAAAATATAATTTTAACAATTACAAAAATAACACTTGCATGTTGCATGTATGGCATAATGAAAAAATTACATACTGTTAAATCAACACACATGCTAACATAAAATTCCTGACTGTAGTAGTATTTTTTCATTTATTTTATACAACATTTGATTTGACACATTCTGGTGCTTAAATAATATCTAATCTGAGCTATTCCTTCAAGATTTGAACAGTAGAAAAAAAACTAATTAATTTGTTGTACCTCCTCAGAGTTCAACTTTCTCTAGCTCCTCAAGCTTCGAGTGTACTGTTTAGCAGTAATGTGAGGTCTTTACCACGTAAATCCCTCTTGTTCTCCTCCAACGTAACAGGTCACTATCTATACGAATCCCCTAATAGGATGACATACAGGCCAACTTATTGACACTAACTTAATGGAATTTCTAATACAGTTGGACATCCTCCATTCTGAGGGGCTGAAGTCCGATAAGGACACAGCGTGTGAACTTAACACAGGTGGCCAAACTCGATTGCTCTTAAACGGCATTTCTTAAGTACTTCTGACAAGAGACATTAATAATAATGAAGGAAAGGATGGCAGCGGGGATGGAGACCGGTCCAGGGAGGGTTGATGCAGTGTTCCCCCCCGCAGGTCTGATGTGGTTGCATCTCTCCGTTTTGGTGACTCAGAGTTAAAACGAAGATTAATGTGTGGAGACATCAGAAGTCCATAGGCTACTTCATGTCCTCTTGGTGCATGTAGGGATGGTCTATTTTTGTCTTCCCCGGTGCAAGGTGAGGCACATGTGTGTGCGCTGACGCTCCAGATCAGAGCGTGCTGCTCTGTAGAAATAATGGCACCTGAGCTCAAAGAAAGAGTGATGGGCAACTCAGACATGCTGACCAGACAGGAACATGCCAATAGTGGATGTGTGATGAGAAGCCACATCACTGTAAAAGCAGATGGACATATTTCATGTCCAGTTTCCTCGAGAAAACAGTAGAATACAATGTAGCCCTTTTTCAGAGATAAGGCATTACAAATCACTTGGACAGCAACACTGTGTCCTAACTGTGCTTGACTTCATAAAGCAAAGCAAAATAACTTTTTTTTTCCAGTTGCTTGGTTTCTATTTTGTTGTGTTCAACAGATCAAAGTGCAATGCATCTAATGAATATAACTTAAGAGGTATCGTTGATGTGTGTTCAAATCTAGTGCAAATCAAAAACACAGGTGTTTCTTCAACTTCACACAACTTTTTGGGTTTTTTGTCACATTAAAGCTGTTTTGAAAACGTCTTACATTTTTACAAAAACAAAATTAAAGCTGTTTTGGAAGCATCTTACATTTTTACAAAAAAAAAATGTCCTTAGTAACCTTAACTAGTACTATGTGCTTACATTTAAATTAATCATTTGGTACAATGCACTTATTATGTACAAGAAAGAAAGAAAGAAAGTACGAACGAACGAACGAAAGAAAGAAAGAAAGAAAGAAAAGAAAATCCATTACAAAAAATACAAATGATTATGACATTCTAAACAAAGAAAACTAGCGTATTTTTTCAATTAATTGTTTTCAATGGAAGCGCTGCGTTTTTTAAAACGGCATGAGCGTGACGAGGCGCTGAGAATTTTCTTCCCTCTTAGCATTGTGCGCTCAGCGATTTATTTTTTTGGCACAGAGAGTTGAAGAATGTTAAATTTTGGGAACAATGCAACACTCATTGTCACTTTTTAGTCAGCCGTCCAATCACAGTGGAGGATGGGCGGGACAAATTACACACGACCAACTGCCACATCCTCCTTGTACAACAGCAAAAGACGACAACAAGAAGCACAACAACAACAAAACAATTTAAAACAAGGGCCAGAGCAAGTACTTTATATTCATAAATAAACTATCTGCTAAATCAGATCCAGAATCAGTTACACTACACAGAAATTCCATATAATAACAGCCAAAGCATCTCAACTGAAAAAAAAACCTCTGCATCTTAAGCCCCGTTCACACCAAGAACGATAACTATAAAGATAAAGATATTAGCGTCCACACCAGCGGACAATTTAATCTGTTTATTCTATGCACACGCTCGTCTGCCACTTTAAAGGCGCTGTATGTAAGTTTTTGACTTTACTAAAGCATAAAAATACCATAATATGTTTGCAGATATTTAAGAGCTGTAGAATCGCTCTCAAGCACTCACAGCTGGGCATTTTCAGTAGAGCGCCTGGCATTTTCAGCTGGCTAAAAATGCTTTGGTGGACACACAGCTTTATTGGTGGAAGTCTTTTTTTGTAATCATTGGTCATCTTGTTTTTCACCTGGAATTCTGCCGTTAAACACGATTATTTATCAAATAAGTTGAAACAATGTGAACTGATGGCTTTAACAAAAGCATATACAATTGGTTAACAACTAAGACAACAGGCCTGTCTTTAAAGGTTTATAAGTTAAAACAATTTCCCTATGGAGAAAAGAAATGGGGTTTTTACTTCGAGACATTTGAGACATGTGATAAGTAAACATTATGTAATTTCTAACAATCCCACAAGTTTGTCAAATTAAAGTGGGAAAATGTGATTAATCATGTGTAAGTAGAATACATAAAATGCTAGCTACATTAGCAAGACAAATGAATCAGCCATTTTTTAATTAATTTATTTATCGCATAATTCTGCTAAACCCTGTGCATCATTGTAGATGTAGTGGAAACATTCAGGACTTCAGGAAAGTGCCCAAGGTTGAAGAAACACCCACTATATTTATTTTAACAATTCATGGCCCTTTGAGGATTGTGTTTGTGTGTTTCCAGGTGACATTCTACTGCAAACTGAAACACTGGGTGCACACATCCCCAGATGTGCTGAGGTCTGTGGTCCTGTTTCATATTCACTCAGTTTACTTAAATGTTAACAATTTGCCTGTATTAAAACTCTCGCTGCGATCTAAAGGTTTTGCAGAATCTCTCTATGGATCAGAGTCTTTCTAAACCTGTGGCATTGTGGCCTGGGTCTGTTTCCTTTTTAAAAGCAAGAAGGGCAGACTGAGTCCAGAAGAGAGTCACTGTCATAGAGGAGGAGCCGGGGCTGTGAGGAGGCTGCTTTTATAGGTCGTGGACGTTGGATGGAGGGATGCTTTTATTTAGGAAGGGAGAGGGGGAGTGCTGTAGCTGAGCTGGACCGAGCATAAAGGGGTTCTTCAAAGTTTAATCCCCTTATCGGCTCAGCTTCTGGACTTCAAAGCGGCAGTGACAGCGGAGTGCTCCGTGGCTGGGGCTGATGGGTAATGGAGATTAATACCACGACCCTATCAGCGGAGCTTCATGGGAAGGAGCTGTAATAGGATTGGCCACAATGTTAACACGGTAAACTAGGGTAAACGTATATATGAGAGGTGAAGGAAGAGAAGGGGCATATCCTCATTTGAAACTTTTTGTCATTGTTTATTCATCCTTATACATATATGTGTGTTTTTCCATGGAACAGATTTTGTTTTTTTTAATCAAAGCACTTCTGAAGTATGTATTTGTACTG